AAAAAGGTGAAAAAGCATACTACAGTATTACAATATTGCCATTGGCAATCCCCCATACAAAAGTACATGCATAGCCCACCCATGACACACACTTGGATGCTGGAGTGGCAGCTGTAGGCACGGTGGTTGGCACTTGATGGCGCGGCGAACAGAACACTTGTTACATCATGTCATGCTTCCGCATTTTAAAACATTGCTTTTTGAATTGGTGGCTGATAAAGAAGTTACAGTTGTAAACTTTATGTAGATGCAAGAAGTAACGTGGTTGGGTTTCACAGTTCAGAAGAAATCTCTTATGGACTGCTTACCTAAACAGAATACAAACCAGAGACAATCTCTTATGGAAGGATATGCTATTGGATTCAGCTGATTATGTTTTGTGCGATGGATAGTTGGAATCGGTGAGCCACCTCCTATTTCATTGCAGTTTCTCTAATAAATTATGGGCCAGAATGTTACATTTATTACAAGTGCAAAGCTGCTGTCCTGGATCAGTAGAGGAGTTTGTAAGGGGATGGAGGGTGGAAGGATTGAGTGAAAGAGGAAAAACTCGTTTGGAATAAAATTCCAGTTGTGGTTTTTTGGTGCATATGGCAGGAGAGAAATGGACAGATTTTTAAAAGCAAAAATAGCTTTACGGATTCTGTCTTTTAGAAAACCCTGGGAAAAATGTTTTCTTGGCTTGCTTGTCATAATCTTTTTAATAATACAGGATATAATTCCTTTTTTTGTACATGGAAACCTTTTTTGTAAAGAAAGGTGGGATATTCTGATAGGGCATATTTTATATAGCCCGAGTACATCAACTAGCTGTACACAACTTTTGCTTTCATTAATACAACCATACTCTACCTTCTCTCTCTCAAAAAAAAAAAAATCCTTATTTTGTGTTATTGACTGCAAAATATCATCTAGAAATGAAATGCAAACCAGGTAAGTGTGGTCTTGTTAGGTTTGACATACATTGGAACTGCCTTTTTCTGATACACTCGTCTTCATCATCATCCAAGCTTTATCCCAACTATATGGGGTTGGTTACATTAGTCCTGTTTCACCATTCTGTTCTGATAATGTCATATCCATTGTAACATTATGAGCATTTAAATCATTTCTTACTACTTTGATCCATGTTCTTTTTGGTTTACTGTTAGCCCTTTCAAATTGCAATAAATCATTTTTCCTTATGGGTGCTGTTGATGGTCTTCCATGCACATGTCCAAACCATAATAGTTTACTTTCTTTCATTTTATCACCTATTAGAGCTACTCCTAGGTTCCTTTGAATGGCTTCATTTCTGATCCTATCCTTTCTAGCTTTTCCACTCATCCATCTCAGCATACTCATTCTTCCACATTTTTTTGAAAGGTGAAGAGATAATATTGTATTGATAAAGATGAAAATGGGGCAAAAGAACATATCCCACCTGGATGTTATAGCAAGATGGCCATTGACCAAAAGAAAGCATAACTAAAAGGTAAAATTATCATCCCAAATGATACTATTCCAGAAAGTACTACAAATAGAAGAAGAAGAACCTATGAAGTCTTTGTGGATGGGTGCCCATTTTATTTATTGGACAGAAGAATTGGTACTGTGATTTTTTTAATCATTTCTTCAAGTAGTTGCTTATGGAGATTTATTTATGATTAATAAGTGTAGCATCTGTGTTATGCTGCTGGATTATGTTGCAGATGGAAGACCTTCAAACACAATATGCTGAATATGCGGGCTCAGAGTGATGCCAAAGGAATTGAGCTCAAAAGACCAAATGACTCGACATACACCTTTCCATGCCCAGATTGCATGTGCCGCATGAACAAGTCAGAAGAAGTCAGATCGTCATCAGTTCCCTGATTTGCTTCAAATGAGATTTTGATGGATTCCTTTTTGTTCCTGTAACATGGTGTGCAGATCTCATTATTGACTCATTCTTTTTGCTGGTATGATTCTTTCATTCTTCCTTTTGGCAAGAGGCAGCACTCAGTCAAAATTTCAAGATTCAGGGATGCTGTAGAGCACATTGCTCTCACATATACTGACATACATTCTTTTTTCGGGGAGGGAGGAGTTTGCATTCCCATTGTATATGCTGTTGGAAGAGGACAAAAGCAAAAAGGAAGAGTCTTTCATTGCAGCTTCCCTGGAACTAACTGAACAATCAGCATTTTTTTTTTCCGTTAACAATGCTGCAGCAAACAAAACATGCATTTTGTATGCACCAATTTTTTCTAGTGCTTGTATATTGATTGTTTTGAACGAGAACCACACATCTATAAGACTGAAAATTACCTTTGTATACATCGTCATGTATATTGTATGAGGATCAAGGGATTGAATTTTTCTGGGGCCATCTTTTCTTATTCAATGTAACATTTTCCTCTTTCATTTATTTATTTGTTCTCTTTTTTTTTATCCTTCTGTGGGGTCTAATCCAATAAGTTGAACTTCATAAGCTGTAACCTGTAGCGTGGCCCAGAAGTCAAGATCTCCATTCTCCAAAAGAATAGTGTGTGTGGTTCAAAGATGTAACTAATCAACTGCTACTTCTTTAAGCTAAATTACATATTTCATCTGACAGAGATGAAGAGCATGCTTGGATGCAGGGATTTGAACAGTCTTGCCATTTCTGTCATGACTCTTCGAGGAGAAACTGCATTTACGCAACCTCCATTGTTAGTATTTTACTAGAAGGGTCTCAAGGTCTAGGGTTCACTCTTCCATAATGACTAGAAGTCCTCGAGAATGAATAGGCTATCCAGCCAAAAACAGACTTTATGAGGTTATTTTTGACAAATTCTGCATGCAGCTACATCGGAACCCGAGGTGTTTTTGACGATATTGAAAACACTTATTGGAGTATCTACGTCTCTTCTGGTCTTTCCCAACAACTACAAAAGAATGGTCATTGTGGTCGTGGTATTAGCAGAATAACCATGTTTGCCATGTTTTAAAATTTTGAAAAATAATTAGGGACAAAATAGACATTTATGCACTTCCGTCAAGAGATAACAACACTGCCCTATTTTTCCATCACAGTATGACTGTATGAGTGGTGAAATAGACATTTGTGCACTTCTGTCAAGAGATGCAGCAATGTCCTGTTTCTAGAAAACCCAATACCATGTAAGTGCAGTCTCCACCCCATAGACACTTGTTTTGTCCCCTGTCCCCACCAACAAATGACCCAGTTGGTGGGGTTTCTGGCTGATTGTAGGGGATCAAATCCTTCACCCTTTCAAATTTTAACAAAAACCTAACCCAAATCCTCCAAATTTATACCTTAAGCTATCCCCATTATATAGCCCATTAGGGTTAAGTACTCCGTAACCCAATACAAAATTCTGAGTGACAGCCTCTTATAATCTATTAATAGCCCCTTCCTATAAAACACATCCTGCCCGTGAATTTGATATCAATTCACGGTCAGGATTCATCCCCACTACAAAATTCTGCTCTAGACTGATCAGTCATTCTCCTTAAAATATAAAATATTTAAAAAAAAATACCAAAAAAAAAAAAAAGGGACCAAGCTACATAGCAACATCTGGTACAAATGCCACGAGACTGTAAATGTAAACAATCAGGCATTAAATGAGAATGTGGGTCGGTATTTAGAATCCATGCATCTACAATAGTTCTGCCTATGAAGAGCTTTGTCCTAATTATCAATATCCTCCAGACAAGGGATCCTTCTCTTCACTTCCTCTGAAAGCCCATATGCTCTGAATGTGGCCCACTTCAACCCAAGGCTAGATGATGATCCTGATCCACATGGTTGTGCTTTATTACATGTGATGTACGTCCTTTGATTGGAAGCCACTGAGGTCTGAGGGTTTCTCACTTGCACATGGACATTGGACCTTTGTAAAAAAAAGTTGGCATTTATTCCTCTTAAATTATTTCTTTTATGGATAAATTTTGCAAGCCTTTTTTTTTTCTTTTTTTGCTTAATGGCAATATGGACATGGTACTAGTAGCGTGACTAGACATGAACTCTGTACAATAACTATAATTTATTTTTCCCTGATCAACTTGTGCTCTCATTTATTAACAACAGATCTATATACCTTCATCACATGTACATATATTTAATTAGTTTAATTAATTACCCTAAAAGTTTGTAGATCTCTGTAGATTCATTAGACGACAACTATGCCAATGGAATCTCTGCATCCCAAGTTTGATAGCTCGGGAAGTGTGAGAGTAGGGCTTTCGGATTGGTTTTCTTTCTTTTTTTTTTTTTTTTTTCTTATTTGCTTGTTTCATGGAGCTAAAGGCCTAAAGGCTAAAAGATATGCGATGGGCCTGATGGCTTTAAAGTTTAAACACCTTCAGTACACAGTCCACCGACATATGCATCAATCTGGACCCTCCATTTTCTGGGCCTTTTGCTCAACACAAAAAGTTAATTGGTGGGCCATGCCCAGTTACAGTGCTTATCGCCATTGTGTTTTATAGCTTTATCTTTTGTCATGGTTAATGCCTTAATGGATGCTTGGCTGTATCCAGTATAAACGCATGTATGTCGAAAAGAGGAAAACTTTTAAGTTTTAACACAGTTACAGTTTTGACCAGTGGTATAAGTGCAAGAGCTTCAATTGGGCCAACTTCAACCCCAGCCCAACTCGAAAAAATGGGATCGAGTTGGGTTGAGTTGAAGAATTGAAGATAGTATTGAAAATTGCAAATTTAATATAGAACCGGAGAAGTTAAGGTTCATTTTTTGGGCAATTTGGACTCCACTCAGATATGAAATGATTAAGGGTATTTTATTATGAAATATTATCGCATACAAGTCGAGTTGCCCAAATTGAATGGGTTCGGTTCGGATGAGGGTATTGATTCAACCCGATCCAACCCGGCTCTGAAGAAGTCTGACACGGTGTGTGATTCCATTGAGTCATTGGAATGTGAATCGAATATTATTTTTTTGAATGCAGACACAGCCTTCCCCACTGTCATTCTGACAGCATCGATAATGGTGAGTTTTGTCATGATCACAGTCCCAAAGTCTGACTCCTATCGGCATTTCTCTCTCTTCTTAAAGATGAAACTTGAGAGAGATGGAGGAGAGAGCCGAGGTGAGGTGAAGTGGTGAACCCTTTTGATCCCTCCATTTCTCATCTTTTTTATTAGCCTTTCCTCCATTTCTTCATCCTTTTTAAAGTTTTAATCTTTTATCTTTTATCACTCCCAAGGGCAGAACGCAGAGGGGCTCTCTCTCTCTCCCTCAGTCCTCCCACCAATCCAAACACCCACTTCCCCCTTCCACCCTTGGCCGGTTGGCCCTTCTCTTTTATTTATAAATCTATATATGAAATGAAAACCACTCTAGTCTAATCTACAGACAGAGAGACTGAGAGACAGACACAACACCAAAGAAAGACAACCTTTCTCCTCCAATTGCCTGAACTCAGTCCTTCAGCATCGCAGTTCAGCCATATATGGAAGTGATGCTGAGAACTCTCCTTGCTTTGCTCTTTTCCGCTCTTATCTTCTGCTACATTTCAGGTACTCTTCTTCTCTCACAATGTCTCTACTATATACTTTGATGTCTCATCATTTCTTTCATTTCAACTCTGTAACTGGGTTCTTGTTAATGAAACATTAACACGAGAAAATGTGCTGCTTGTGCATCTGGGTCTTCTCACACAGCTTATTTCTTTAAAATCTGTCTTTAATTGTATTATGCTAGAAAGAACAGCTAATAACAAGATATGTTTATCTAAATTCTTAATTTTATATATGGTGGTGTTGTATGAACAGTAGTAGAGGTCTCAGCAACCACAATTGCACTCTACAATAAATGCTCGCATCCAGTATGGCCAGGCATTCAACCAAGCGCAGGCAAGCCCATCCTTGCTCGGGGCGGCTTTAAACTCAACCCCAACCAAGCCTACTCCCTCAAAATCCCCGCCGGTTGGTCCGGCCGCATCTGGGGCCGTCAAGATTGCTACTTCGACGGATCCGGCAGGGGCCACTGCGCCACCGGCGACTGTGGCGGGGCTCTCTACTGCAATGGTGTGGGTGGGGCACCTCCAGCCACCCTGGCGGAGATAACACTGGGCGAGCAAGATTTCTACGACGTCAGCCTTGTAGACGGCTACAACCTGGCCATCTCCATCACCCCATTTAGAGGAAAAGGGAAATGCAGCTACGCGGGCTGTGTCAGCGATCTGAATCTGATGTGCCCAGTGGGGTTGCAGGTGAGGTCTCACGATAACCGACGAGTGGTGGCGTGTAAGAGCGCCTGCTTTGCATTCCAGTCTCCCAAATACTGTTGCACCGGGACTTACGGCAACCCACAGTCATGCAAGCCCACTGCATACTCAAGGATCTTCAAGACTGCTTGTCCCAAGGCTTATTCCTACGCCTACGATGACCCAACTAGCATTGCCACTTGCAGCGGTGGGAGCTACCTAGTCACTTTCTGTCCTCACCGTTAGTCATCCTCCAATCCAATTCCAATACACTACTGATGTCACGAAGACACTAATTTTCCTTTTTAGCTTGGTTTTATTTACTCTAATAGCTATATTATATATGAAACCATGCGTGCTGAATTTGATCAATATTTTTACTTTTAGTCTAGACTAGACTCTAGAGTAGATTCTTATACTTCCTTAATTAATTCAGACATTATTATAGATGTATTTGAGTAGAGTAATAGCCTCTATTACTCCCTTTTACTAGTGGGTATTATAATTATCATCTCCACTTCCACTTGTCTCAGTTCTCTAATATTACTTAGCTTATAATGATCAGTGATGAAAGAATTATGTGTTCATTTACCTAGCTGATTTGAGTGTAATCAATAACTTATAAAACATCCCTGGCCCATCATGTATTCGATCTGATGGCATTAATCCAACGGCTGAAGGGGCTTTTGTAGAATAGCTACCCAAAACATGGGTTGATTCTTTCCCTGTGGCAGGCTAAGGCAGGTCAGGAAGGGTGGTGGTGTGACGTGTGAGCAACAGCTGGTGGGCATGTCAGATGAATCATGTGATGGGGCCGGGCTCCTGAGATCTAACAGTGTGGAGTGTGGACAGAGGTGAGGTAAGGACTGAGGACTGAGGAGGTGGGTGGGTGAGTGTGCTTTGGGATGACAGCATCGACGACTGTCTCACCTCACAGTGAAGTCACAATGGGGTTTGGGTGGTGGGTGAGGAGGGTTGAGACTTCTCAGAGCATCCAATGTCGATTCCTAGCTAGCTAGGCAGGACAAATTGACCATCTGACTCCGATCGAGTGCAGTAACAAATAACAATGTAGAAGCCCAGTTACCCAAGCAAGTTTATTTTTGGTTAGGTTCACCGTTCATGAGCAAGGTGTAGGGAGGGCCATTATCAATTTACCATTACGGGTTTCAACTCTCGAGGAGGAGTTACTAATAAGACCGTGAAATGAAACATGGCCGAAGATTTACTTTTAAATGGTGGAGATGTGATCTGGGTCGGTCTGAAGCCATTAACTTGTAATTTGTCTCATTTTAGGAATTGGGACCCACCATTGAATGGACCCCAATGACAAACATGGCTATGTTGGTTTGGTTTGGTTTTGATACTTGTGGTAATTGGTAGGTCATATATGGAGCTGGAAGTCTGGACTCTGGAATATGGGACAGGAATTAAGGCATTGAGTGGAGGTCCAACAATCAACATCCATCTGCCTGTGCCCTCAACCTAAAAAGTCAAAATCCCCCCCCCTATTTGAAACATAGGCCAAGAAGCATCTAATGAAGGTCCTACAACAATCTTGTTTACTTGGGCACTAAACCAGCCGATCCGGATCCCTGATGAGTTTGGATCTTCTGATCACAGAATGCTGGACACATCCTGTGCACAATACACTCCAGTTTGTATCTGATGGCCACATCCTGTGCACAAGATAGTGAAGACACTACAATGAATAACAATATCAAGTACAAAGACATTACCCATGTACAACTATAGGGTCTTATAGTCAGTAGATCTACTAGATATAGGCTCAATTTATTTTTACCCTCTCCCCTTCACCTACAACTAAAAATACGGGTAAAATCCTGTATGCGGTATCACAAAATACACAATTACACATTATAGAAGAATCAGGAATGGGGTAGAGTAGGGTGCACATGAGGTGGGGCCCATTAACCATCCCTTTCATCTGAGGGATGCTAAGTGATCATCTTGGTTATTGGGTTATTGACTAACAAAAAGGTGTTATTTTTATTTTTTAGTGTAAATTATATAGCAAGACAGTTTACTTTAGCATGCCTATTCTTACTCCATTACCCCTACCCTGCATTCTTGTTGATTCTCTACTTTCCCCTTCCTACCACTCTCATTAAGCCATGTCACCTTTCTTAACCCAACTATCTAAAAATATCCTAGAATCTCTTTCTTAAGGTATCTCTTCTAAGCCATTATGAATGTATCATGTTACCCTACTCCCCTATCAATTCCTAAAATCTCTCCCCAATCTATGCCCACTCTCTCATTTAAAATATTCATATTAATTAATAAATAGTTAAACATGGTTAATATTAATCCAACCCATATTCAATGAGTATTTAATAGTGCTATTACCAAAAGTTGATAAATATGATTAGTAAATTATCAAAAATTAATAAATATTGTTATTATTTAACTCATCATGATTTTTTAAAGTATTTTGGGTAAATACTATTATATTCAAGTTAATTAACAGCATTTTATATAAATTGAAATCTCTTTAACTAATTTAAATAAATTTGAGAATTATATTTAACAATTATCAAAAAGTATGAAATTTTAGTTATTGCTATTATTATAGTTAATAACCGAATGCAGATGGGGGAATAAAATATTATAATGTTGGAGAATGAAATTATTAATGAACTTATATTGGAAAATAAAGATAAAATTTTTGAGAGTTTATTTAAAATGTATTAAATAATTATTGAAAAATATTGGAAATTTTTTTACATTTTATAGATTTTGGAAAACTTTTGAAAAATTATGTAATTTTCATTGTAAATTGTTAAAGATAAATGAGTATAGGAAAGGGAAAACTGTAATTTAAACCAATAATTACACAAATTATTAAGATAAATTAGTATAATATTGGAAAGAGGAAATTATTTATTAGTTTATATTAGAAAATATAAGATAAATTAATGTAATTTTGTAAGTAAACCATTTAAAAGAAAATAAATTATTTAATAACAATTTTAAAATAAATTTGAATAAATTTTCAAAATAATGCAAATGTAATAATTTTTTCAAAATTTTCATAAAATTATAGACAATTTAGTGTACTTTTAGAAAAATTTACCATGTGGCTAATACTCAGTATATCCTTTTGATCATTTTTGTCATCAAATTGAATATTTGATTGACGAGGAGTAGGTGCATTCATCTGACACTAAGGACAAAGGGAAATTCGAGGATTCTCTGTCCCTAACAAGGAGTGGGTGCCTTGCCTTGAACCCGCTTAACACTAGAGACAAGGTTGGGATGGGGTAGAGTGTCTTGACTACGGGGTGGGGACAAGGATGGGGTGCGCTGCTTTGAACCCGCCCCATTGCCATTACTGTATAATTGTTAATTGTTAGAAAAATTAATAAAAATGTTAGTTTTTGTAATTATTTTTATTTATTTAAAGTCAATCAAAATTTCATTTAAAAATAATGAAAATAATAAAAGTTATTAAAATTACTACAAATGATTAATAATATTAAATTTATTAAAAAATATTTGTTCATATTAAATTCACAATAATTATTTTTTGTAAATCAATATTAAATTAAAAATACAATTATTAATTAAATATTAACAATAACTTTGAATACTTTTAATTAATTAACAACAAATTTTGATTATTAATTTATCAATTAATTAATAATAAATAAAATTATTTAATTTTTCATATTTTCCCATGCATCACACGGGTCCCCGTATATAAATATATATATATATATATATATATATATATATATATATATATATATATATATATTGGACAAGGGGATAGATTTTTCTAACTTTAGGAATGTTTTTTCTTTACCCATTAATATCACTAAAGGCGACACTTTCATCCAAAATCTTGTTACCAAAGATCTAGATTATTGAATTTGTGCGTTCAGATCAGTCAATAAATCTTAGAAATCTTAGTGGTGTTCAAATAGTTTTAGTTTACAAATAATCTTGGCCATGGAACTATTAAATAGCTAACTATCCTGCTATGTATCCTCCGAAGCATTCAATAAAATTCTCCTTTTTCTACCAAAAAAATAATAAAAGGATTTGGACCATCAAAGTAATCTTTCAATATTATTAATCTTGATCATCCAAATAATAAAAGTATCGATATGTATCGGCCTGTATCAGCCTGTATCAACCAATATGTATTGTGCTGGTGATTTCTCAATACGCCCCTATAGGAGTTGTATCAGGTCAGCCACTGGTTCAGAAAGTAACCGGGCCATGAACTGACCCCTCTGAACCGATTTCGAAAAAAATAAATAAAACATAGAAAAAAAACCACCAACACTGGCCGATACACCAGTAGGGCGTATTGGCCCGTGTTGATATTTAGAACTTTATAATCAACACAAAAGTATAGAAGCTATCAAAATTTTAGGCCTAACTCAACTAATCAATCCTGGCCATCCAAGTGGTATACCAAGATTTCTTGGGATAGCATCTCCCTGATTTCTGTGTGCAATTACATAATTGTGTTGGATTTTGCATTTGATACCTGGGTTTGGGTCAATGGAGTTGAAATCAACCAATTGGGGTTGTATGGAATTAGTATCATATAGAGGTCAATGGAAGGTTTGATTTTCTTTAACTGTGACATTTTATAAGTGAATTTCATTATTGTTGGGTCAGATTATTGATCTCAGCGACAGTCTATATGGCTCTAAAATTGTCATAAAAGAACACCTTTCGATTTAATGATCCATTGGGACAAAAATGGGATAAAAATGCTCCTTTTAATAATAGATTTTTATGGATAAAATGATCATTATCTTATTTTCTTGGAAAATAAAAGAACATGGATAAGTATTTCCCAGGAAAATTTACTTGCTCAGTTAAGTATTTCCCAGAAAAATTTATCCAAATAATTACATTTACCTAAGTAAATAACTTACCGAAAAGAGAACGGGCCTAAATGATTGATTTTTTTGGTGGAAAGATTCCTAGTGGATAATTATAATGTTTGGGGTCTGATTGGATTTCTAGGGGTTGTGTGTCTCAATTTTAGAATTGAGCCTAATCTCAACTCCATAAAATGCAGTTTGTGGGCTTTAAGGCCTAAGGACAATGGGTTTATTTTGAGGCGTCCTTTTTATCTTTGCGTGGAATCTTTTGAGAGAATCTAGGGATGTTTGAAGAATTGGAAGGTTTTGGGTTTAAGGGTTTTGACTTTGAGATGGGTTTAAGCACCCAATAAAATTTGAGTTAAGGCTGCAAACGGATCGGATCGGATTCAGTAAGAGCATATCCGATCTGTTAAGAAAATTGGATTGATCCGAATCCAATAAGGATTCGTTGGATTTTTAAAAGCATGAATTCGAATCGATTCGATTAAAACTATTTTATATTATATAATATTAATAATATATTCTATCGATGAATGGGGGACAATGAACCTCAAATCAAAAACTTTGTATACTTAAAAAGCACAGGTAAACTAGCAGCATCTCAGCAACATCTATTTCCCCATGAATTAGATACCATATGCGAAGAGTATATGCTATCGGGAGAAACGAGCTCAAATGCAAAAAGCTCTCAACATTTACAAATTTACATCACCCCTCACCTCTGTGCCCAGCAACAAAGTGAGGCCAATGGGAAGAGCACACCTCAAATTACTAGACCTGTTTATGGGCCGGGCCGGGTCGGGTTTGGACTGGGTTCATTCTGTATTAACAGATTTTTCTAAGACCCGAGCCCGAGTCTAGCTCGACCATCGGGTCTACAACAGGCCTGACCCTGGCCCTCATAAAAAGCTCGAAGCCCGGGCCTGGGCCTGAGCCCAAAATTTTGACCATACTCTTACTACTGCTGAAGTGGTTGAATAGAGAGAAAGAGAGAGAGAGAGAGAGAGAGAGAAATTATAAAGAAAATAATAAAAAATGTATATATTAAATTATAAATATATATTTTAATAAATATTATATTATTTATATATTTTATATAATATATAAAATACATATTATATTTTTATAAAATATATAATATTGAGTTGGGTCGGGCCGGGCTTTTTTGACAAATCCTGAGCCTGACCCGAAACACAGTTGGGCTTACTGTGTTAGGCCCGAGGTCAGACCTACGGGCCTAATTACATGACCAAGCCTGACCGGGGTGCGGGCCGGGCCGGGCCGGGCTGGGCCATCGGGCTACCCGGCCCATGAACAGGTCTGATCCTGACGCTCTCCCTGTGTTTAAACGATTTTTTTTTCTTATTATTGCCTATTGGTGATTGATTGGACAGTTCAACTATTTGAGTCAATGATGATTCAAAAACACTATTGAGATTGGCCTCCATCTAGGCAAACCTGTGCCCACACTGTTCCTTTTCAACCTTGCATTGAGAATCTCTCTGTGAAATAAAACATAGAAGTACAGAGATATTCTCAATTCAAGGTAGTAAAAACTGCTAAAACGGGCTTTGCCCTAACTGAAGTTGAATTCCTACTGAGATTGGCCTCCATCAGGGCAAACCTGATGATTACATCTTAAAGATTTTATAATAGAATATGACTATATAAAAGAAGCTGGGTACTGATACATCTTAAGGAGTAATAGGCATGAAAACTACAATCGGTAAATCTCAACAGATGTTAGTGGAAAACACAATTCACCTTTTGTGTTTATGATTCAGAAATTCTGTTGGACGTAAATAGCTCAGGGGATTTATCGCCATCATGTCCAGTGACCACACTGCCAGAGCTACAACAAGATTTGAAAGTCTAGATGAACCAGAACCTAAAGGCAACCTTAATGGTGAATCCAGAACTAGTAAAATCTTACATTAACAAATTTAAAAATTCATTAATAGAGATGATGCTGGTTTTTGGCTTTTTTTGGTGTTCTTGTTAGAGAATAAAAGTCTATTCAGGGATCTCACCTGACAGTTTGACCAAATAGTCTAATTTTCGATTCTCATTAACTTTAATATAATTAATTAAAATTTTAACATAGTGTGTGGGTGGATCTATTCTCGTTCATGCTTCAAGCCCAATGGTCTTGGGCGTGATCTTTTCTGTGAGCATAAATGTTAGAGAATAAAAATATATTCAGGAACTTCCCCTAACAGGTTAAAATTTTTAGGTTGAATAGTTCTTTCATATATTTGTTCATCTATACTGTTGGTAGGTTTTATTCTTTTCAAGAATTTAGATCTGATTTATATCTATTTGTTTTTAGACAGGCTAAACAATAGAAAAGAAAAGAAAAAAAAAACAAAACAAAGACGTCTGATGATCGAATTGCGAATGACTTTGGTACTGTGGTGAATTTTTGTTCCAACTGGTTCCGAAACATGTCATTTTGAATACATCTTATTTTAGAGTGTGGCATATTGTGGAACCAGTAATTCTTGGTTCTGGAATACAAAATAACACCAGTTTTTGACAACCATTGTTTCTCCTCTTCTATAACAAACCATACTTTATTGCTTGGTTCAATACATTTCACTTGATAACCAATACATTTTAAACCCCAATATTTTGAAACACAAAACACCACACCACTATATACAGAACACCATCAAAGAGTGTGGTGTGTTCCAAAATGCACAATTTCAAACACATGTGAATCTAGTTTTATTATACATACATACATATATATACATAACATATATATGTACATACAAACAGGTATGCATGCATTTATGAATGTTTATATGATAAAAATATAAAAAATTTCTATTTAAGGAATTAAATCATTGATATTAAATAGGTTCATATAACTTTTTAATAGACAGGCATGATTAACACTCCAGCCCATGCTTTGGCCCAACCCAAGTATGTCAAATTTCTATTTGGGCTAGACCTGGATTGAAACATTGGACTTGACCTCGGTTTGGGGCCTTAGGCCCAATTCTTCAAATTGGGCCTGGATTGACCTCAAACCCAGCCCGGCCCTTCCAACTTGCACCACTACCTTATAGAGTTTTGTAGATTTTCGATAAAGTGAAAGGGGCTATAGGGTAGGTGAGAAGCACATGGGCCAAGGTTTCTTTTTTGAGTAAATTTTTTAAACTATTCATTGGCTATATCTTTATTATTTAAAAATTGACTTACGCTATTCTTACTATTTTTGAAAATTGACTAATCCTTATGTTTCATTAACGTTCGTCAACGATGATCTGACAGAAACGATTTTACCCTCAGCTATAGGTTACTCAGATTTCTCCCTCTCCTCAAATCTGAGTATCTCTTAAATCTCATATCTGGGTTCCACCGAGTCCGCACAACTGCTGTTTCTCGGTTTCCAAGTTAAAACCAGTGGATACCGCCCAAGAATCCCTGCCCAACCCTCACCGAGCCCAGTTTGCTTAGGATTGCTCAGACTTCAGAGAAGAAGACAATGGCTTTGCACCTCGTGCTCTGATTCTTCTTCAAACCCTGCAACCCATGGCATCATGGCATCGTCGGAGACGGAAAGAGTGAGATGGAGAGGAGGGATCTCTGCAACAAAACCTGCAACCCCTGCAACCCATGGCGTGAACAACCCTTCCTCTTCTTCTTCTTCTCTTCACCCCTACAACCCATGGCATCACGGCATCGTCCGCGACGGAAAGAGGGAGATGGAGAGGAGGATCTCTACAACAAAACCTACAACCCATGGCATGAACAAACCCTTCCTCTTCTTCTTCTCTTCACCCCTGCAACCCCTGCAAACCAAACTTCTCTTCACCCAATCGTTGGGGTCGGGTTCAGCTCCACCACCGTCGTCAGCTCCGCCACCGCCATCGTCGTCTACGTTCATTTTTAGCTTCAACAAGACACGACTCTCTTTGGGCTTTGGATTAAAAACTGCTGACATGCTGCATGTGCCACTGTAACAGCAACTAACAACCACTATAACAGCTCCGCCACTGTCGTCTACATCGACCCCCTCCGGCATCGGCATCTTCGTGGCAAGATTAGCACTAGGTTGGAGATTGTTTGAAGGACTTGGGCGGTATCCACTGTCTCCTCTTTTCTCTTTCTTTGTTCTTGTGTTCCGTTGAGATTACTTCAGAGCCGAATTGATGAAGAAAGAGTTCTAATGGAAACACGGAAGCTCTTTCTAGCATATCCGCTCAGGAGCTCTTCTCTGGTTCCCCGGTGTTTGTTTCGCTTTTTCTTTTTCTGGGTAGTATAGTTGATTTTTTATGGAGGCAATAATCAGATTTGGGTTCCTTAGGCTCTGATTCTCTAGAAAGAGATGGAAAAGATGGAATATTCCTAAAATATTCCACTTTCCCATGTTTGTTTTGTGAGACGCACGGAAATGGGATGGGAAAATAGGGGGACGCACTTTCTCAAAAACTGGGATTCAGGGTCGCACAAAAACAGTACGACCCCGGTGAGAAAATAAAGGGAAAGAGTATCCGGTTTGCTTGTTAAAAGAGTTTGTTGTCTGTCTTCTCCACTTCCTCTGCCCAATGGCAACGTCCAAGCTTCCGGTGATATTTTCAGATAGATGGTTGTCTCGTTGTTACCTTTTCAACAGTTTTTAATTCTTCTTTATTTTTTGAGCTCCAAAACCCAAATAGATATATGGTGCAATCACAGTGGGCCTGGCTGCCATGGTTTCCGACAACCAATGCTCTCTCTCTCTCTTCAGCGTTTGATTTCCTTCTACCATTTTACTTCGATTTCTCGAAAAAACAGAGCACTGTTCTTCTCTTCAACTCTCCATCTCTTACTCTATGTTATCTCCCCTGTCTACTACATGGATATTACTGTTATTCTAATACAATGATTTCCACCAAATGTTTCCAAACACCACTATCGTTCCTTCGGTTAAAATTGTGATTTTCATAAATTATTTCCAAATGCACTCAACTCATTCTGATAATTAATTACTATCAGAATTTATCCAATTATAGAACAAACAGATGCCCTTCAATTGTAACAGATACAATGTTCAAGCCCAGAAACCAATAAACGAATCCCAACTTTGGCAAGCCAGTAGTGCTGAAGCCCACCTTTAAATCTCCTCTAAACCTGAAAAACTACAATCACCCACCATATGTTCGACCAAATTCCCTGTCAAACACCTTTGCTTGGAACAGTCTCATCCAAGCCCATCTCACCAGTCGTGGTCCCTGTCATCTAATTTGGAGCCTATGGGCACTTGAAATCACTACAGGAAGAAAAATAATTTATGAATGATGATACTATAGGACAAAGTGGGTTAAAGTGTCTTCTCACAAATCCCATTTCATGGATAGCAATGGTCCGTTGTTATTTGAAAAATTATGGATTCAATGAGAGTTTGAGACTTTTTAGAGGGACAATTGATTTATAGAGCTAAATAGTTTTATTTTCAATTCTGATTTATGTCATGTTTTCTCTCAATAATTTTCTCATAAACCAAATGATGAAAAATGAAGATTTCACACTTTCTCATCCTATCCCATCCCATCCCATCCAAATCATCCTGCAAACCAAACAGAGCCTTAAGGACTGAACCAGTTCGGTTTGTTGCTCAAAGGAAGAAGAGGTAGGGATAAAATTGGAATTTAAAAAAATATAAGTCACTTATATATGAATTTAACAGAATATTAATGGATGCAAACTAAGGGTAAAACTAGTCAATTGTCAGAACCAATAAGAGTAGCATCAGTCAATTTTCAAACAATAGGAATACATCTACTCAATTAACTAAACCATAAAGGTAGCTTAAAAAATTTACCCTTCTTTATTTTTGATAAATATCATTGAAACCCACCTCACAAATTTAATCTTGACCTACCTCCAAGACCCCACTTTCATTTGGGTTATTATCAAAACTCCCTTTCACTTTTCCTCAGTTCTCTTAAACTTACTCAAACTTATCAGAGCCTCCAACACCTCATCAGCTTTTATTGTTTAAAACTTACCTTCCCTTGTATAGGTTTGGGTGGAAATGCCAATGTAGATGAGGAGCTTGGCGAGTTGGCGCCGAGAGAAAGGCAAGGTGGAGGGCCATGGAGGGACGATGGAGCTGCTGCATGTGCAACGTTAACGGTGCTTGCCCCAACCATGAGCAAAGACGGTTTGTTGCACAAAACCTTCGACAACGCCTCTGTATCTCAGTAATTTCTACTCTTTTTTTATTTAATTCTTGGTCTGTGACTGTACGAAAGTTCTTGTAAAGTACCAAAGTCACTTAATTCCGATGCATTGCCTATAGTTTTAGGTTTCAATCTACGTCATGAGCTTCACTGTCACATGAAAGCACAAAAAAACCCGTCCAATAGGGCGGGAATTGCCATCCTTCTTGCCCAATCCATCAAATAAATTGCGTTTCCTAATTTAGGTTTGAGAGTAATAGAGCTGACAAAACATCTTTGGGAACTTTGGATCATCTATAATAGAAATTGAGTTAAGGCAGGCCTCCACATGTCACCGCCCACGCGGCTACCCTTACTTTATATTTTCAGTCTATTTCATTACCAACAGTTACGTAATTTAGTTGTCGCGTAAAGTAAACTACCTTGCTTTCGTCTTCGTCTTCGTCTTCAGTGCAGCCTGCCACACTAATCCAAGGCTCCAAGCCTTCCGTGTCCCTCACTCTTTGCATTTTTCTAAGATCAAAATCATTGGCACCGCCGATTACAAGTCTTCCAGTCTCTTGGGTGGGCCATGACAGCAACCAAACACTGGCCCATTCCAATCAAAGCCCACGAAGGACTTTTCCTTTGGCAGTTGACAGTTGGCATAGCCCGGTCGTTTGTATAAGCATAAGCTAACTCAAATCTAGATCTAGAGCGAGACTCTTCTCCTTTTCCGTACAATACTTGATGTTCGAGAAAGATTGAGCTTGGGCCCACTAACTGACTGGTCCACGCTGCATAACTGAACCGCTCACACGAGTCAGAATCCGGTCCACTGTATAGATATATTATCTGTTTGGTATAGTTTCCGTTGTTTAAATAAATATTTATATTTAATTTGTTTTTAAAACAGAGAAAAAAATAGTTAATAAATCGTTTATAACAGACCAACTTTTATTAATAATATCAATAATGCTGATTTGATAATAGACTGTAGAGTGTATAACAGCCCGTTGGTGTATTAGCTGGTTCAGTGACGCGGAATCGAATCCCGCAACCACCACTTTGGGGAGAAAGGGAACGATGGGGAGGTTTTTAGTGGTGGCTTAGCTGCATTCATTTGATGGCTGTATTAAAGGCTGTCTGGCCAATAACAATTTCCCACGGGTGTGGATCTTACACATTTAATTAGCTGACGTGGGGCATTATAATTGGTTGAACGATCCCTAAGACAGGCATTAAGTGCGCCTAATCCGGACTAGCAAAACTGAGATCAGAGATGAGAGAACTCGAGCTTTCAAGAATTAACTTGGATCGGATTTTGTTATGAATTTCTGTTTTAGAGATTCAAACACCAAAAAGTGAAAACCCTAACCCTAATACTAGCAGGTCACTAACAAACGTGTTACAGAGGTTACCATTACCAACAAGAAGCTAAGAGCAGAAAAAGATAACAAATGAAAACCTAGAAATTGAAAGAAACCTGTAAGAAGAAGAGTAATTCGATGTATTGAGATGCACAGAATATTGATTATACAGAGTAGAATCATCGGGAAGGAGCTTTGCCGTTGGTCATCATCAACTTAAACTCCTCAAAGTTGACGTGTCCATCGCCGTCGACATCGACGGAGTTGATCATCCGAGAGCAGTCTTGGAGCGAACACTTCTCTCCCAAGCGCTTCAACACAGTATACAACTCCTTCGCCGATATCAACCCGTTCTTATCCTTGTCGTACAAGTTGAAAGCGTCCTTCAACTCCTTTAACTCATCCTCCGCCTTTGTGTTGCCAGTACCGTTGGATTTATGAAATTCAGCGAATTCTTTGAGATCGATGAAACCGTCACCGTCAGTATCGATCTCCGACATCATGCGGTGAATCTCCTCCGGCGACGTGTCGGAGCCAAGTGCACCTAAGACATCGCGAAGCTCGGTGGAGGAGATCTTGCCGTCGCCATTCGCGTCGAATCGTTTGAAAACTTTCTCCACTTCGTCAACATTCTGTAGCGACACCGAAGGAGGAGGAGGAGACTTTCTAAACATAGTTCCTTTGCCGCTGCTGGGCTGCTCCCACAACTTCGGGTTAGCTCTCTCCTTCGCTCTCTTCTCTCTCTCTCTCTCTCTCTCTTCTCATCACAATTGGAACCTTTTATTTGTGTTTCTGTTCATGGAATCGGATCTGCTCCTGACAAAGCGCTCCTCACTCTGACCTCACAGAATATTCAAGCCGTACATCAAGAACATTATATTATTATTCATGGGTGATGTTCCTAATATACGGTGGAATGTGACTGTCAGGTGAGAGCTCTTTGTAAAGCTCAGTTATTATGGTCTTAACGCGTTTTGGTCATTTCACTTTAACGCGGTTTGTTGTTATTGTATTTTTCTTTTTTTTTAATATTTGGGAGGCTTTTACGTTACAATTTGCGTCGCCAGAGTTTCCTTGTCTTCCTATGGAAATCGAATGACGTAATGCCCATCCGCGTGGGATCCATGAAAAATTAATTAAAAAAGGGAGAATGACGGTTCCATGAATAAAAAAGTCCATACATTACGTGTGGACATTTTCAAGTTAACGCGTTGTATGGAGTACGATGATTGGCTGAGAGAATTCCAGGTCTTCTCTCTTTTCCTGGCTGAATCCGGAATTCCTCTTCCGTGAATAAAAACACATAAATAGGATCAATGTTCTTGATGTGCCGATGCAATGTGAGGTAGATATGAGGATTCTACAGGGTGGAGGTAATTCTAGCTCTGTTTAGGCCTCTAATACTAGTTTGGATTTCCTCTTCAGCCAAATTATAGCCACACATTTCCTGTATTGGTATGTTTTTGTTCACGTAGAGATGTTTCCTTGTAAGCACTGTGAAGTGAGTCTGAGAAGGAAATGCGAATTTGCCTAAGATTATTTTTTGATCTCTTACCTCTCAACACACTACAGCCATACATCTCCCGTAATTGTATTTGTATATTATCATTTATAGGCAATATTTCCGATGTACGGCTATTGTGTGTAGGGCTCCTCTGACTGTAGATAGGAGATCCGGATTGAGATGGGGGTGGGGCCATATTAGATCAAATTATAAATGGATCGGCTGTGGATATCTTAAATTGGAACGGATTCGATTTTAATTGGGAGAGATGAATATTATCAGACTTCACTCAAGTAGAGCCCTAGAGTGTTATAGACAGTCCGGAATTAATTTGTATTGATAATTAGAGTAGAGTGTTGCAAAATTGCAGTTATACCCAATGTTCATTTCGGCATTAGAGAGTAAATTGGATATGATATTGGTAGTGGTTTGAAAATTATAAGTTAGGGGGTGTTCGAGAACATGGTTACTTTTGTTTTTGAAAATAAAAATAACTGTAACAGAAAATTTGTATTGTTCTTAATAATGTAGTAATTGTTTTTGTTTTCAAAATTAAATCAATTATGTTGTTAAAAAACCCCTTAATCATTATATTTAAATATTAAAATATTTAATATTATTTATTTATGTATATGCATACATACAACATTCAAGGTCAGTTCTAAGGTCTATCTATGGAACCAGTTCTTTGAAATAGAGCTGGCAAATTTGACCCCAACCCACCCATGCCCACCCAATTCAACAGTTGGTCAAGATGGGTCAAATGACCCATAACGGTCAAGGTCGATTGGGTCAAGGGTGACCCTTCACCCTCTCTTTAGGAAAATTAGGTTATTCTCCCAAAACTCTCTCTCTCTCTCTCTCTCTCTCACACACACACACATTTCGTCGATCATATCCATAGGTAGATGCCACACCACCTCTTTCTCACTCAGATTGCCACAGCACCACCACTCTCCCTCTCTCTCGCTTCATTTTCAGATTTCCGGTAGGTGGATGTCGTACCACCCCCCTAGCACGCTCGGATCTACCGTAGGTGGATGCCACATCGCCCTTTTCTGCTTCAGATTGTCGTAGCACCACCACTCTCCCTCTCTCGCGCTTCATTTTCAGATCTTCGACAGGTGCATGCCGCACCACTCCTCTGTCACGCCCACATCTTGAAGCTCAATGCCGCACCACCACCCTCTCTCTTTATCACTTAGATCTACCTTTGGAGGTTGTCGTCGCACCACCGCTCTCCCTCTCTTGCTGACTTAGATCTTCGATTCGAAGATTTGAAAGAATGAAGAGTCAAAGACTATCATAAAAAATTTCAGCGATTTTTTTGTGTTTTGAAATATTTTCAATGGCTTGTAAACTCTTGCAATTGGAAATGTAAATCCCATCAAGAGTGCTACAAATTTATGCAAAAATAGTTTTGTAAATTTTTATCTCTGAAATATTTTTTGAAATTTTGCTTCAATATTGTGTGGATGCATTGTCCATTTTTGCTCGATTTTTTTTGAAAAAATTTATCATTTTATTAGTTTGTCTACATTTTTTTACTTTTTTGATATAATATATAATTTTCAAATTTTATCATTTTATGTATTTTTGCAATTTCTGCTTTTATCCCATCTTTATATTTATCTGATTTTTTGTTTTTTTTTTCAATTTTCTTGTATTTTTTAGTGTTTTGTTATAATTTCCATTGTTTTTATAATTCATTTTTTTTTGCATTTTCTATTTTCTACAATCTATACATTTTCTGTATTTTTTGTTATTTATTTGAAATTTCTTTGTTTTTCTATAATTTTTGGTGTTTTCTACAAATTTTATTTTCTGATTTTTTTTATTTTATGCAATTTCTGTAGTTTATATAATTTAGATTTTTTTTGTTTTTGAAATTTTTATTATGTTTGCAATTCTATAATTTTCAATTTCTTTATATTTATGCATTTTATATATGAAAATATATTTTGAACTTGTTTTCCTTTTTCATGTTTTTTAGTTGAAACATATATGTGTGTATATTTTACATTTTTCTGTAATTCTATTCACATTTTTGCATTTTTTTTTATTTTCTTACAACTTTCCTATATTTTTCTGCAATTTTCAATTTTATTTGAAAAAGTTGAAACTTTTTATTTTTCAATTGAATATGTTTATGCAATTAAAACAAAGAAAAATTAAAAAGGTTAAGGTATTGCTTTGAATTAGTGGGTCAAATGGATGGGTTAGGGTGGGTAAGGGTCAGAGTGGGTCACACCAATATGGGTGGGTTGGTACTCAACCCAACCCACCCATTTGCCACCCCTACTTTGAAATAATAATAATAATAATAATAATAATAATAATAATAATAATAATAATAATAATAATAATAATAATAATAATAATAATAATAATAATAATAATAATAANTTATTATTATTATTATTATTATTATTATTATTATTATTATTATTATTATTATTATTTTCCCTTTCAAAGTTTTGACCTTAAGTAAAAATCTATCATAAACATTCTATAATTCAAATCTATATAATTATTCAATCTCGAAGAAAATAAAACATAATCCATAAACAAAATAATATGACATAATCATTATTGATACATAATCCAGCTTCACACACATTCCCCAATTTGCTTAATTGTAATCTCAATGCAAATAGAATACAATCCACAACCAACCTAAACAATACAACATAATTGATACATAATCCATCATTCAAACCCATACACTAGGTTCAAATTATATCTAAGCTAGTTCTACCAAAGCCAATCAAGGTCAACTCTCCAAGTCAATTTGGGTGGGGTAAACTTCTAGACCCTAGAGCTGGCTTAGGTGGGATCGGTTCCAGAATTTGGAATTGAATCATACTCAAGAATTGATTGGAATCTAATGAGGGTGGGTTTGACCCTCTAGTGACATTGTGACACGTGGCTCCACAAAACTGGCAAACGACAACTCAACACCACGTAAGCAGATTTCAGAAGCACGATAGACACCTCGCCCCAGTTGTTGACTCCTCAGCCTCACCTTGGTAGGGCGATCTATAATTAGACCGGACAACGCCAGGTTGGCATAAGAGGCGACCTGCCTCCACCAATCTGGTAGTGTGACTCACTGCCTATGTGGCAGAAGCTTTTTTTTTGTGAAAACGGGTCTTGGAAGAATGGGCATTTTTTCTTGAAAATCGGTCCCAAAAAACACCCACACTTCCAAACACCATGCAAATTTGAGGAGGGGGCTAGGTTTGGTGTTGTGTTACTCAAACAGTCCGTATGGGAATTCAGTTCGGATTTTTTTTCAGTTCAGGTTTATCACCAAATACCAAAAAGAAATAATAATAAATAGGTAAAATACAAAAAACTCCCTTGAAGTTTCACATGAACAAAAACCTCCTTGAACTTTAAAAAACTTGACAAAAACCTCCCTTTTGTCATTGACCCAAACGGGAAATGTTTAACCGATGCATAATTTTTTCAAAATACCCATTTTACCCTTTTTATAAAATGGGTTCTCAAATAACTAACTAGTGAATGTCACTGATTGTGCTAAACTCTGCTCTCTCGTCTCCTCTTGTCTCGGAAGGAAGGTTAGGAGTAAAAAGGAGAGCAATCAGCAATGGCCCCATCTCAGTTGGTGACATGATTCAGATGACACTCTTGGTTACTTCGATGAGAACAACAACCTCCAAAAGGTTTCCATTCACTCCCTCGCTGTCGGTAAAAAGCTCATCCTGTTCGGCGTTCCCGATGCTTTCACCCCAACCTGCAAGTAACCGAATCCCCGTTCTCCGTCATCAATCCTTGTCTCTTTCAGCTCAACCCTTGCTACCACTTAACTCCTGGTCTTGTTGCTTTTATCTTTTCAAAAATGTTATCTTCCCATCTGTGAGTAGGGAGGTAAGGCTATATATGGGGGTCTCTTTGAAAGACAAAGGAAAGTCGAGAGTAGGAGTAGGCTAAAGACTGGCGCAAGTGAAGAGATAGAATAATGATCTCGTTATGAGTTGAACCCCTATTTATAAGGAGAGATCCTGAGGTCTTGATAGGAATGAATTAAAAGTGTTTGATTCCCATTAGGGAAGGGGATATTAGATTTGGTGTTAGTTGTTAGGGAACACCACTATGGTAAGTGATGTCACTACTTATCTCACGTGCCCTTTCTAATCCTACTGGGTGTTCTGTCACACACGTTATTAGTGAAGCACATGTTTCTTCACTCATTTTCTGACTTGCAATGAACTTGATCAGCTCATCACAATTGTGCGATGG